ACTCTCCCAAGACAGAAAATCAAAATTAAGTATAAGGTACAGAACCTGCAGGTGTGGCTATGTTAAACTGACATTATACAAGGAGAAAAATCTAAAATCTGTCTTTTCTGTTAACCTTTTACTTTCATATCTTCCAAGAACTGGTGGGTTGATATTTATTTTATACAAGTCTATTAAAAAGACTAGCTGGTTTGGCTCAGTGAATAGAGCACTGGACTGGGAACTGGAAGGTCCTGAGTTCAATTCCAGTCAAGGGCACATGCTTGGGTTGTGGTTTTGATCCCCAGTAGGGGGCGTGCAGGAGGCAGCCGATCAATGATACCCTCTCATCATTGATGTTTCTATCTCTCTCCCTCTCGCTTCCTCTCTGAAAGCAATAAAAATATATTTTTTAAAAAAGACATAGCAGTATCAAAAGTACATATATTAAGGGAGAGTTAAAGCAATGTTAGTGGGTGACAGTTTCAATGAAAGGCTGTTAGACTGAAATCTGGGGCCTTACGATACCTCTGCAGATGGCACGGAAAAGTCTGAGCACTCTGCTGGCTTACAAGGAGTTGACATTTTGCTGTTTGTCAACCATGGTTTACCATAATTGCGTGTTAAAGGATGGAGGATCTGTATGGAACAATGGCAAATCAAACGTAAAGGATAGCAGGTAAAACACAAAGCCACAGAAAGAGATACTCATAGCAAAGACTCACATTTCACAGTAAGAACAATAATTAAAAATACGTGGAAAGATCTGATGGCAAATCATACACAACCAAATAAATGAATGAAGCTTCACAAAGAAAAACCAATCTGAAAGGTAACAAAAGCAGCTCCCAGTCTCTACAGGGGCCATAGGGCAAAAGCATATATTTAAAAAAATAAGACTCATCCTTCATTTGCCATATTGTGAGAAGGAACATGATGGAGAAAGCTCACAGATTCTAGGGCCCTACGACATTCAGAAGTATACTCAAGACAGTGATTGCATGCGAGGAGGAATAGATTTCTCAGCCGAGTCCTACCTTGGGTGTGCTGGTGGCATGGACCTGCGGGGAGGCCGCCTGGACAGCCGGACTGGACACAGATGTTGATCGGTTGGGTGAAGCTCCACGCGATGAAGGCCGTGATCTTCGGCCACGGGGTCGGAAAGCAGCCATACCCTGACTGGCACCGTCTGCTAAAATGAACTTCTCCCGAAGTTCCATGTTCGTCCTTCCTTTAGCTGGATCGCATAACACACAACGAGGCACACAAAACAGAAGAGGAAGGAAAACAAGAGGCGCTCAATCATTTATGGGAAGAACGACCCCCTGGCGCCACCGATTACGCTGAGGATTTGAGAACACCTTTTTCCATGCCAACTCCAACTCAGCATAACAAAAAGGTGAATGCATTCTGTTACAATGCATTCCTTTTGGATACAAGTCAGTTTGGGAAAGAAAAGAAAAAGTGTGTTTATTCTAACACCAGACACCAGCCAGAATAACCACTATCAAAGAAAGAGTCAGCATGAAAATGGAAAGCTCATGCTAAAATATTGTTAATCCACCAGCTACTGATGCCCACATGGGTTCATGACCCTTTCTGCACACTGAGAAGACAAGCCAGTCAAGCAGGGACTGTGCCTTTTGCATGTACTGCTGAGGTAAGGAGAATGCCAGTATTTTAACTTTGGGATTAATCCAACAATAGAGTTACACAGGACAGATGGCTTGTTAATCATGATGACAACATTGAAACTCTCAGGTTTTTCACTGGAATGAGGCAGCTAGCATTTTTAGTTTATGCTTTGAAAAGCTCTCTTTTACCAACATGCAATGACAAACACCAGACCCAGGGATCCGGGAGGTCACCAGTGATGCCACACTCATACGAACACATGTGCGCACGGAGAACACTCCACGAGAACCCGATGCAGCGTGTTAGCATGTGCTTGATCACTTACACATCACCTACGCTTGCAACGCACTGCAAGTGTGTGCAACGTTCAGACTTTACGTCTGGAAGCACCAGCTCAGTTGGATATGACGTAAGCCATACGCAATGGATGGAGCGTGTTATTTTAAAACAAATAATTAAAGCAG